GGAAAGCCTATCACCCCATGGCGACTCCACCGAACTGAGGATATTTTGTGGGTAGCACTTTTCCCACATACTATGATCTTAGTCAGAATCTACAAGTAAATAATCCATTCACTTTTGACGAATGAGTCATTTAAGTGCCATACATGATACACACTTGGACAATCATGCCTCTATTCATGATTGACTAGACAGAAGATATTTCTCGCAGTAGGTTGAAGACAACATAGGCTTTTCTACGGCGAAATACAAACACACACACACACACACACACACACACACACACACACACACATATATATATATATATATATATATATATAGCCATTTTGGTTCCACCAGTCGAGTTGTAACTAAATGCACCGAAACGAGGTTGCATCTTTGTAGTGGGTAAATTGTTTTTGTCTATATGAAAAAATTTATATATATATATATATATATATATATATATATATATATATATATATATATATGCTCCTGATAAATTTATTTCGGTCGAGCTCTCGGGGGAGGAAGTGTGAGTTTGTAAACAGTGACTATTACTGCTAACAATGCAGGACTTTTCCGTAAAAAGAATCGAGTTCCCTCAGTCACTGTGTGTTTATCTAAAAATAAATACGCTTAAATTCACCTACATCCTTGCCGTCCTCCAACGGATTAAGGATAGAATCTCCGACTGACGCCAATTCAGCCGAGTTTCGATCCTAGCTAGAGGCAACCAGACGTCTAGCTACGCCGATGTATCAATATGGTGATTTTTCTTTCGTCTTTCAACGATAGTGTTATTAAGCTTATCAGACAATATAAAAGAAACTTACTTAAAATAAATAGACAAAACTTGTCTATAATATTTAATGAAACATGCATTAATATATATATAACTGAACCAAACCATTAAGAGGTGAAAGGGCAATAAATTAAACCCTGCCTCCAAAGTCTGAAAAAGAAAACAAATATCTACCTAAACAAAAGGAAAATCAGCTTATGGCTTATCGTAGCAAGAAACAAATGGGAAAACAAATGAAGACACAACGGAAATAATATCAAGCAGAAATACATCCAGAGATGCGAACCTATATTCATAAGATTTTGTTTCATACAATATAAAGAACAGTAAGATATATAATCCGGTGTTCTTATAGATATTTTTATTTTTACAAAATAGTGCTCAGTGTAAATTTACAGAGCATTAATATTATGAATTAATTGATTTAAAATATGTTTTTTTTCGCTACACAGTTCTAACCATGTTTCAAAAATAGAAGCTAAAAGCTTCGAATTTAATGTTGTAATTAAATTAAAGACATTAGTTTCATTTCATCCTCAAGCTAATTTTGGAGTAACTTATTTTTTTTTAAATTAATGGGTTTTAAAGGCACTGCAAAAATTCATAATTCACGTTTCCAAGGATACAGAGAAATCCATTCATCCAGACAAGGGGTGTTTGCGTGTTCATTATCGCTGTATTTTGTTGCATCAGGTATTAGTTACGTTTGAAGAAGGGTTTTCGTTTAGGTAGGGGTAGGGATGTATTTTTTAACGAATTCTGATATCCGTTAAATGCATGTCGTCTGGATTTTTTTTTAAATTTTATTGTTAACAGCAAAAATTCTTACGGCATTTTTGTATACTTAAAGATTTTTGAGGGGTGTTTAGGTTAGAATACGTTTTATTTAACTACGATTTTAAAAAATATTTTCACTTTTAATTTTTAATATACTACATTTCATTTTAAAACAAGTAAATGTATTAGAATTACTTACAGTATGTAAAATTATGTTCACATCAAGTATAAGTATATATATTACCAGGTCACAATTTAAAAAAAAATTATATTTAAATATTATTTAAGTAAAATTTATGACAATGACTGCAAAAATAGCTAATTCATTTCTCTGATTTAGTAAACTTTTATTTTTATAAACTTAGTAATATATAGTTTCTCATGTATGCACAAAGGACATGCTTCATTTAATGACCTACATATTCTAGCCTTTATCTCATTCTTTTAGGTGCCAAAAGTACTTCGAGAGAGATGTTTGAGTTTTATATTTATTTATCCTAAATGAACTTTGATGTTGGTTGAATCTTTTTTTTAACTCATGGCTAGTGCAACCTATATATATTTTTTATGTTGTCAGGATTTTAGTCGAAGACATATTGCATTTGAATATATATATATATATATATATATATATATATATATATATATATATATATATATGTGTGTGTGTGTGTGTGTGTGTGTGTGTGTGTGTATGTATGTGTGTATGTATATGTGTGAGTGTGTGATAAGAATGTAGTTTTTACAGTCTGCTATATTTATTTATGGGTAATGGTGCTTAATATCAGGGATAGTACGTATGAAAAATATAAAAGTGGATACTGAGGCTAACATTAAGCAGCGACAATCTGCTTGATGATGAAGTGAAATTCGCATGAAAACTCATAGGTTGTGAGGTATATTTATTAGTAATTGTATATATATATATATATATATATATATATATATATATATATATTTATATATTTAACAACGCACATTATGTTCATATATATATATATATATATATATATATATATATATATATATTTGTGTGTGTAACTTCATTCCAATTGTAGGGTAATATATATATATATATATATATATATATATTTAAATGTTGTTAATACTGTTTGTTATTAAAAAAAAGCACTTACTTAAATATTTGTTTCTATAAAAAAATAACGCACAAGCAGAAATATATTCATTTCATAATATATATATATATATATATATATATATATATATATATATATATATTATGTATATATATTATACACACACTTTACGTTGCAGATAGATAGATAGATAGATAGATAGATGTATATATTCATATATTTATATATAAGAGTGATTTCTATCATCTTTTCATCTATTTATTCTGTAGCCGTTTTATATTTTGTTTCCTTTTTATTGGTATCTTTTATGAGTGCCAATAACACCAGCAACGTCCAGCAGATCTCTTACCCAAGAACAAAATGCAAGCGGCCATTTTTTTTGCCTCTGTACAATGCGTCTGTCATAGAAAAAAAAAGCGCAGAGTTTTTAGGGTTTTCTTTTAATGGAATTGAATCAACGTACCCCAGTCGACCTTTTCCCGATTGTAATTTATAGAAAACGCTCGCAAGTAATTTATTGGTCGGCAAAAAGAATTGGTTATTTTCACGGTTTCAGTGCACGTTTAGATGCGTGCCTCCATTTTTGAAAGAAAGGGAGAAACAACCAATAAATGATCTGCCAACGAAAACCGACAAGAGAAGTAAAAGAATAAAAAAAAAAATCCTGCTTGAGTTTCTGTTTAAACGGAGACATTTTGTGCAAAGAAAAAGATTGTATATGCCTTTTGTGTATACAATGATTTATATTATAAAGTGCACACACACACACAAATAACATACACACACGCACACGCGCGCACACACACACACACATATATATATATATATATATATATATATATATAAAGTTGTTCAGACCAATAAGGTTGTGGAAACTGGGTCAAGACAATAATATATTACTATTAGAATTTTTATACGAATCAAACTTAGCAGAGATAGATAACTTTCAGTTGAAGAATGGAGATGGATTTTTATTTATTATCCCCACAGATTTCTGTTACTTAAACGTTATTTTTTGGATACCCGTATTGTGATTAAACGTTTCGTTTATTTATCAAAATGTATATTTATTTATTTTCGTCTACCGGCCTGAATATTCGAGAAATCTTATTAGAAAAAAAATATGCGCTCTCCGGCAAGATTTTTGAGCCTGCGTTCCTTTAGTGGAAACAGTCATAGGGGTCAGTCACTTCTGAACCGACTGCTCGGTTGAACTCTCTTCCTACGGACGGGAGGAACCCGAAGGAGGCTACGCCGAAGGGCGGAGTCTACTTCGGGAGGTAAACTCGGCCCTGAAACCTGTTTATACGGGTTCAATGGGCATATTTTTGCCGAGCCCACGGCCCGGAATGCCCACGTTAAAAAGGCCTTGTGCCACATGAAACCCTCATGGGGTTGGGGGGTGACTGAATATCGTCATAAGGTCTGACGCGCTTTAATCTCTCGACTACAGAATGCGTCGATGTCCAGGCAAAGGGGAAGAGTACCTTTGGATGCACTCTGTAGCCAAGAGGTCAAAGCGCGTCAGATCTAATGATGGCTGATGTGTGACGTCATGAGCTGCAGTGCGATTTTCGCTTCTGGCGTCTTATATGCACGTGTTTATCGTTGCTTGGAAATCATCAATGTAAACAATAGCAGACTATCATCACTGTCTTGTCCCTATATTGCTTAATATGTTGTAATTTACAACTTTGATAATGGCTTATGTAAGCCGAAAGCTTAGATTGGATTAAAAAATATGGATCAATATTGTGATTTTCTTTCTTCGTTTAATGATAATGTTATTAAGCTTATCAGACCTTATGAAAAATTTACATAAAATAGACAACACTTGTCTATATTATTTAATGAAACATGAATATATATATATATATATATATATATATATATATATATATTATTAAAGAATATCAAAACTTAACTCAAAAAATCCTTAGATTTGATATTCTTTAATTAATAATTTTGCTCTGTTTTTAACATAGAACTCTCCCTAGATTATATCCTCCTTGAAATTCCATACAGATTAATAGACGATTGTGTCTAACATGAAACAGCCCGACGCCTTTTTTGACTTCAATGTTCACTATATATATATATATATATATATATATATATATATATGAAGAAATATAGTTTTAAGGTGTGCTGTATTTATGGAATAAAGTGCTCAATATTAGAGATAGAGCGTATGTAAATATAAAAGTGAACATTGAAGTCAGCACTCGGAGGCGACAGACTGTTTCATGCTAAACGCAATCATCAGGCCATCTATATATATATATATATATATATATATATATATATATATATATATAATCATAATATGAGGTACATGTTATGTTAAAACACCCTTCCCCGTACGTACACTGAAGTTAAGCAACGTTGAGCCTGATCAGTACGTAGATGGCTGATCGCTTGGGAATAGCAGGTGTTGTAAGCTGGGATGTGCGGGTGTTCTAATGTATAATGGCCCGGGATTGTTAATCGGAGAGCCGAGTTCCAATTAAAGTTGGATTCGTTATATTTACTTACGCACAAATACTTTTGGGAAAGCAATGGGTCCACCCCTTCGTTCCTCAAGCTATGGGTTAATTAGTAAGACTTGTGTCACTAAAACATTATTATCTCAAAAAAAGTAAACTTTAAAAATATCTACCATCTCAAAAAAATAAACTTTAAAATATTTAGATTTCGACATTAAATAACCCACAGAGGTGTTGATATACCGCTAAATGAAATAACCAACCCAATCTACCTTCAGAGTTTCTTACGTTTCGCATTTGGCGAACATTAATAAAAAGAATTACATTTTTTTTCATTATTATATTAGGTGTGTGCAAAGGTCCCCAGCGCTATTTCTTATAGAGACTAAATACACACTACAAAGCAGGTTGTTTTTAATATGAAAAATAACGCTATCAACCTTTGCATAAACTTAATAACCTAAAGTTCTCATCATTGTTATTATTGTTTCAGTCTGACATTCTTTCACGAAGAATTCTTATTCAATTTTTATTCTGAACTGGCATCCGCATCATTCATTTTCTTATCATCATGTTTCAACTAGTTCACTCTCCTTCCTCAGTTGTCTGTCGCATTATATAACGTTCAATATTCTTTTCTCCTATCGCAATTTCGTTCCCAAGGGGCTGGCGTGCTCACTTTTCCCGCCGTACGTGATCTGTCAAGTTTCACTATGAAACAACTTTTCAAAACTTATCCTCTGAAGCGGTTGTCTTCAGCATTGTATTCTCTGCTACAACTGCATGTGATGTCGTAGACATTATTCTTCATTATATTTTCTTTCAATAAAAAGAATATGATCAATAACTGATATTTTTTATGAAGCTGTATCTTTTTCCTTTTTGTTCTTTTTAGAGTACACCGAACAGCCGTATGCTAATTCAAAAGGTCATCGTTGTTGTTATGTCATCATTCAGTAATACAAGATTAGAATCCCATAGTATAGCTAAATCAGTTTATACTAAAGCGATACCTACAACAGGCATGAAACTTGGGTTCACAAGTGGAGGTCTGTGATGTAGACATGAAATTTTGCTGGAAAAATGTACTTTTTTTATAATAATGTTCACCCTGTATAAGGCCCAAAAGCCACTCAAAGTAGAGGGTTATAGAGTAAGAGGTACAGTTTTGGGAAATATCTGGGGAAGATAACGGTTGTTTCTAGACATGAAGAGGTTAATATTGTAGTGATCGACGAGGCATCTACTTGGAAGTCAGTTCCACCAAGTAGCTTTCCGTGGGAAGAAGCTGTTCTAGTGGAACGTTTCTCTAACTAATGGAATATAAAGGGATTAAGGGATTAATGTGCATGGTATTGCCGTGATGGTTAGAACTGGTGGAACTACGGAATGTAGTTCGTCTGAAATCTTTCCGTAGAAATATTGATAGAACAGCAAGATGCTTGCGACGCTTCGTCTGCGAGAAAAGGATTGCTGTGTAGAAAATAATTCATCACTCACAAGAGTGCGGATAGGCCTTTGGATTCTGTCGATACTAGAAAGTGAAAACCGAGCACCACTTGGCCATATATGACACCAGTACTCCATTTTCGGCCTAATCTGGCTCTTGTAATCGTAGAGGATAGCACAATGTGTCAGGTACTTACTGAAGCGGTACAGGGAACCGACTATTTTCCCAGCATCTTCAGCGATGGATCGTATGTAGGAGTTCAGCTTAAGATCTGGACTGGGTTAAGTCCCAATGTGCGCTCAAAGTACGGTGGCTCCTTGATGGAATCCGTGTTCATCGTGATCGGTGAACGTTCTGGGTCAGCTCAATGATGATAGAAAGTCATTAGTTTAGTTTTGGGGGCACTGAATGTGACCAGCCAGTTTTCTCCCACTAAGCTGTCAGGCCTAGGTCAGAGGAGAGGTCAGCTGCCAAGCTCTAGTCATCTAGAGTTTTGGAGGTGCACCCATATACCATTGTATCATCTGCATAGATATTCACAAATCATCAGGGCATACACTACCGTGCATCATTTATATAAAGTAGAACTCTTCAATAATAGTATAACTACATGAAAATATTCTTTAATCAACATTATTATCATAAACATTATCATTTACAGAACTTTCCAAGTGGTTGTTTCGACCTGGATATGACAATAAACTACATCCGGGATCAAGGCCTCTAATCGGGAGGTTTTGATAAACATGGATGTTGGAGTTTTGGGGTACCCTGGTGTACTAGTGAGCCAGCCAAAATGAGCTGACTCATTTTATAGTTCACCAACAGAAGGGTTAACCAATCAGAAGGCTCAAAATATTCAATGCGACGTATATAAAGGCGGCCATGTTTTTTCCCGAATATTCACTGCTAGCCTTTGATATCGAAGACTGAAGTATTACGGAACAGCTGCTGGTGGCATTGGCGATATAGTCAGATTCAGTAGAGTATCTGACTCCTGAGTATTAATCTTTAACGCTGTTTCATTGAACAGACTACGTACTGCACTGGATTCTATATTCATAGACTATGGTGAACATGGTCAACAATGGAGCCACCTCTTAATTGCTGGTGTTCCCAGCTCCACCCTGACCCGGGGTGGTAGCACCTGTTAGGATCCCAGCTATGAGTAAATAGTGAACCTCCAAACTGTGGTCAAAACACTATGAAAGTATAAAAATATATTTTTATAGTAAAAATTTTTATAGTAAAAATAGTAAAAAAAAAATTCAGCAATAGATTTTTATAGTAAAACAAAGAAAATTACCAAAGGTCACAAGAAAATAAAATTTCGGCATTAAATAATCCATAAGGAGTTGATATGCCGTTCGACGAGCCAAACCAATCCCATTGATTGTTTCATCTTCATTGCAATCCTAGTTAGAGTCGTCGATCTTTCAACATCTCAACTAATATAGAACGTTCTTGCAACGATGCAGGCTCGTATTTTGGTCGGGGGATATATGGTTATTTTCTAAGCATAGCTTAGATGTGGCACAAGGTCGAAAAATGGGGTGCCCATTGAGGATTGAACTCACTACTCAGTCGTAATTGTTCTAGCGAGACCAGCTTGCTAACCATGACACCACTACTTATTTGCATATGAAAAAAACAAATCCGGGTACGTAAAATAGCCTACGTTGCGAGAGAAATAATTCAATGATAATCATATTCCATTATAATTTTCCTTGTAATTACCCCATAGCTCAGTTAATAAAAGTTGCTATAACGTTTCTGTAAGGTCACAGAGATGTTCTAAAAATGTTTTTGTAGACTCCCCGCAACGTGCCTGCAAATATGTTGCATTGTAACGTTGCAATTTGTTACGAAAAATTCTTAAAATCTAAAAATATTTCCTCGCTTTAAATAACCTGCAATGGGTTGGTAAACCGTAAAGAACGAATGAATCAATCAATTTTCACTTTGCTTTGGAACGGACTGTCAAAATTATAAATACTATTGTTGTAACCTAGAAAGGTTTACTGAATAAGGAATAACCAAAACGGAGGTTGGAAATGAAATGGTAATCTTTATAACATCAACAAAATACAATACTCGCCAGCGGCGTGAAGTAGGTAAACCACTGCTAGTGGTGGATTACTTAGACAGCATATTACCCCCACTTACAATAGTGTCCAACGTATTTATGAGGATTGAAATACACCCATTAGTGTTCATAGGTACGGTATATAACACTCATATGTATTCATTTTTTATTATTTTTTTACGGAGTCTTGGTTTCTGTTCTTTGTTAGTGCTTCTGTAGCGTCATTCTACATGGTTCGAAGTAGGAAGTTCTTTGCTCATATTTCTGAACGGGTTTGGCACCATTCATATGAAAGTCTAGATTTGACGAGGCTAGTTAAGAACATGACACGAGATTTTCATTTTTGGGTTTTTTGGGGGGTTTTTTTTTTGTAGAAATTTGCGGTATTGTATAATGGTACAACAACCTCCCCGCTCATCCAAGACTTCGAACACCGCGGTTGGTCGCTGAAGTGACCGCTTCAATCCCGAGCTAACCTTATCCAACGCAGCCAATATCGAATCGTCGCAGGTGTTGGACATCGGCAGATAATCACGTAGGCTTCTCTTCTACTTCTCTCTTCTGCATAATTCGCATCGCACATTCGTATTTATGGACATTCGCCCAAACTGGCGAATTAAGAGAATTCGATAATTCTGGGAAATTCTCTTCTTCCACTCTCATATTATTACCTCTCACTAAATCTTCTCAGTGAGTGTGGGTAACTCATCCACCCACTCATGATATTTCAATTCATCTTTCGGCCAGAGGAATCAACTGCAAATTGTTTACGAAAAATGAAATTTTCGCTTTACAGCTTGCATTTTCAGCTGTGTGTCAATCAACATTGCCCTCCTAAGTTTGGGTCACTTTTCCATTGTTCAAACTGCTCGACATACAGTTCCATCGTTTATGTGTGAATCAACTCCTCAATATTTCCCACGGATTTTTGGTATTAATCCTTGTTGTTTCAATGTCTCTCGGCACATAAAACTTTCGTATGTTTTAACAAAACTTTCTTCCGTTTTGCCGCGACAGCGACAAATAGTATCACATTGGGCCAAACTACACATAATAAAGCCTATTGTATGTTCAATATTCTTATCGCCTGTAGTAAATTTGTTATAACTGATCCATATACTGAGATATTTGTAGTGTTAATAGTTAGCAATTCTACATCTTGAATTTTTATGATGGATTCAGGTTACCCGCCATCACTGCTTTCATTCCAAGAGAGAGACAAAAATTAAAAATATTTAGCAATAATACAGGGGGACGAGTATTATATTCTGCTTATATATAAGTTCGATTATGTATTCCGTCGTCACTGTAGATATGCGGATGGTGCGGTGAATAGTTCACTAACTTCAGTCGCTTTTTCCAGTATTTATGGAGGCTTCCTTCCTTGCCTTTTGTTTGAAGTTGTCTAGAATATCAACA